ATAAATCGCAAATTTTATTTCTTACTAGTATATACTATTAACGAGGTATAACGAAGCTTTTTGACAGAGTAGAAAAATTATTAATTTTTTGTACCTTGTTAATAGTACTAGTAATAAATAAAATTTGTGATTTATTATGTAATCCCCTGTCGCACTAAGTGTCACTCATGACTACCTTCATCATAATTTTTCGCACATGATAAACTATATTTATAATGATCATATTGTGACCGGGAATCTTCCCACGGAAGATTCCCGGTCTCATTATGAATGACCGGGAATTTTATAATTCTTCACAATTAGAAATCTTTATAAGGTTTGAGATTATTAAAATTGTAAAGCTGAGCAAAATTGTTATAAACTGTGCAATTAATTAAATTGTTATAAGCAAAGCAGAAATTATGATCGTGAATTTATTTAATTTTGGTTACATTATAATTGCATATATAATTAAGTATTAATTATATAGTATTTTAAATTATGGCATTAAACTAATATTAATGTTTATATTACTGCAATTTTCGATTGTAATATTGGGAATCTTCGCTTTTTTATATCTCACACCAGAATCGATCTCATTATTAGTTTTAGCTTCAGATTTATTATCAACTTTAGTTTTGGGTTCATTATTGACATTGGCTTCAGAATCGATTTCATTAAATTTACTGGAAAGTAAATCAAATGCTTTGGAAAATCCTTTATTAATATAATTAGAAGTAGAATCCTTTAATGCTATATGAGAATCGGGTTCTAAAAAAAAATAAAAAATTAATATAACTTATAAATAAATAATATTACTATATCTAATATTATTTTACCTGCTTCTTCAATTGGAATTAAAAGAGAAACATTATCTCGTTTACGTTTTAATGATTGATGCTGATAAGCTGAAACTCCTGCAATAGTTTTATGTCGAGAAAAGATCATTTGTTCATCTAATGTAACACCCAATTCTACAAGATTATGAATACCCGTAGATCGCATAGAATGATTAGTAATAGAACGGCCTTTAAAATCCAGCTTAGCATCTTTACAAATATTATGCATCATAGTATCATGCGATCCTTTTCCTAATTTTGATGTTAAATACCAATCACCATGATATACTTTCTTAGGAGTATTTATTGAAACGAAGAAATAATCATCAACAACATTGTTTGGACGTTTAGATAAATATTTTCAAATGTCAGCAACTGGGGTATAAATATTTTCTGAGATATCAGGTGGTATTAAACTACTTCCAGATTCCGCATATGGATCTTTAATTCCTCCTGCATGGTTTTTTTCTTTAGGCAGTTCAAGCAACATACCACCATCATCTAGTTCTTTAAGCCAAGATGCTTTTAATCGTTTTGCGTCTCCACCTCTTAAACAACATAATAAAGTTAACCAGATCCAAATTCTTCGCATAAGGCCCTTTGGATTATCAACAGCCGTAGCAGGTGAATTTAGTATAAACTTAATTTCATCAATTTCTAGTGGACTAGATTGTTTACGATTTTTATCACCATCATTAGCAAGTGATTTCATGCGACCATCTAGTGTTCTATGTAAACTTTTAAATTGATATTTATCAAACAAGTTTACAATTCGTATTTCTTCAAACATATCAGATATTCCTCGTGCTATAGCACAAAATCCAGTATAGAGTGATGTTGCCTTATATTCCTGACCGTTCGATTTTCTTACTTCAACAATAAACTGCCCCAACTGATCTGATAATGTTTTATTATCCAGTTCAACAATTTCATTTGAATAGTTACGTAATTCACGAAATTTTATAAACAAAGACATCCATACATTCTTAGATTTGTCAGTATTTATATTTATTGATGCTTGTTGAAATTCAGAAATCACTTCTTTAGTTGTTGAAACAAATCGTGTATCAGTTTTTGACATTTTTTTTATTAAGAGTTTTAACAAAAAAAAGGTTCAGCGAAAGAAAAAGTTTAACAAAAAAAAAGTTCATTAAAATAATCATTATAAATAGTTAATCACAGATTAATCATGATGACATGTAGTCAGATTAACATCTAGTGACACGCTCCTGGGGATTACCTATTTATTTCCTGGGGGGAAATAAATAATACAAATTTCTTCTTAATGATCTATATTACAGTATTAACTAGGTCTAGAATATTTTATCACTATCACAAAAATGTAAGATTTTCACAAAGTAGTTAACCTTTAAATATTATATATTATAAAATAACATACCGTATAATTGCTTCAGTATATAAATTAATTTAGTAAATATAATTATACAATATAAATGTGTTGGCAACGATATAAGTTTTAAACTTTTTATAGCAGACAATAGTAAATTACACCTAATTAGGTTAGTAAAATATATATTCATACAAATATATATATAATATCTTTAGAGAGAAAAAAAATAACTTTTTCCACCATGTCTGAAGAAATCGAAAACAATACTATTAACTTTCTTTATAAAAACAACAAAAATATTTCTTCGATTGTTTTTAACCACGTAACTTATACTGCGATTATTACGTTGGTTGACAAATCTGTCAGGGTTTTAAATTTGGATACTTCAGATAACAATTCTCTAGATAGTATTAGCGATAATAATGCTCAGGTAAATTTTATATTAATTACAAAAAAAAAGTATTGTTAGTAGATTAATTCTAATAGTAATTATCAATGGACAACAGAATAGACTACAAGCAAATAATCACGTAATTTCGCCAAATAGTAATAGACAAGATAGCGATGATAATAATTCTGAAGATTTAAATAATAATGACCAAGATAGCGATGATAATAGTTCTGAAGATTTAAATAATAATGACCTACAATCTAATGATCAAGTAAATTCTAATTATATATTTATATTAATAAATTATCAATGTATATCAATATATTCTAATAATTATTCAATTAATAGTCTAATGAAATAAATAATTCGTCAAGTAGTAATAATGTATTAATAAATTTTAATTAATTATATACTAATAGATACAAAAAAAATAAATTAATTCTAATATTTAAATTCCAATAATTTTAATTAATAGCGTAATGAAACTGAAATTCTTGATGTTGTTATTCCGGTAAAGTATATTTATTGGCAACAAATTTTTTATATTAATATATTAAATATATTTAAGTCTAACATTGGGTAATAATCAGCCTAACAGTTTAAAACGTAAAGTATCAGTATTTGATTATGAAAATAACCAACCTTTAAAACTAAAGGTATATAAATATAATTTTTTGTTTTGTTTAATTTATCAATAATAAATTGTTAGTAATTTGCTTTTTCTATAGCGTCTTGAAGGTACTTTAAGCTCTTCCTCATCAGATTTTATTCCAAGTCCCTCACCGACTTCAAATTTAAAAAGTATGGTTTTGTCATATCTATTAATACTGTTTTATTAATTTATAAAAATTAATTATTTTTATTTAATTAATTATATCAGGCACGTATGAACGTTCACCTGAAAATATAACAAGTCCTACATATATATTAGATAATGAATTAGAATCGGATAAACAAAATGATACTGTAGAATCAACATCAGATAATTCAAATAAAAATAATGCAGAATCATCAGATAATCCAAATGGTAAGTTTTATTATATATTAATTTATGTTTATTAAAATTTTTAATTATACGTATTAAATAATCTTCTAGATATGGATAGTATTATAAATAATAAGCCTAGTAAGGTCGAGCGTCTAAAGCAAGCTTTTATGGATACTACTAAAAAAGAGTTGATTATGTATAATAATCAACTTTTTTCAACTAACTCAGTTTTAAGTTTTCTTACAACGAACTTCGATCACCTATTTTTCAGCAATGACGATGAAGTCATTTATAGTCCACAAGATGAATTACCTGATTATTCAATTCAAAATACTGAATCAATATATGGTTATCTTAAAAATTGGTATTTGTTATATGATAAACTTGGATCCGCAAAACATATGATTGAGGAATCCAGATTACATATGTTATACGACTTACGTGGACCTTACATATCACTTGCAGTAATATTAGCGACTGAATACAAAGAAGTTAATGGAGAATTTCCGCACTATAAAACTTTACGTGGTCTTATTAGTAATAAAGTGCAAACCCTGTTTGGAGTCGTTGATAGACATGAAAGACGCTATTGGATAGGAACATGGCGGTTAATTGAATTTCTTCATATAACTCAATGCCCTGCTATGATTCTTGTTAAATCTGGACTTACAACAAATTATTTTATGTCTACAACTAATAAAAAGTATGATAAATTTCTTCAAAGTCTTTTAAAAGATAAACAAGTTGTTCATCAAACTCCTAAATTTGATGAAACTGTGATACAAAAAATTAGGAATCTATATATGGTCTAACGGACATTAATATCCGTAAGATCATATACGTACAGTATGTATTAAATATAATAATTTTTTTTACTTTTTCATATTAAATTTTATATTAATATTTAGATTTATAGCAATTATAACTTCACATTTTATATATTGATAGATAGTCTGTACTAAGGCATAAAAATTAATAAAATCTTTAATTTGCTACATATTTTTTTTATATTTGATGTTTTTATACAAATTCATAATAGTGCTTCTTACTTAGTTATTAATAAAAAGTGCTTTCTATTTGTACACGAGTGTATACGTATACACAGATAATACAAAAACCTCAAAATTTCAGTTATGAAGCCAATTTTTGGCTTCTAACAAAAAAAAAAAAATTCCTTGCAAAAATTTTGGTATAAACTAAATATTTTCTCAACTCCAAACCCACCTTTAACCTAACCATAAGCAAGGGTTTAATTTTTGTTTGTAAAAATTGGTCCGAGTGGCATGTTACATTGGGGTATTTCATATACTAATTAATCAAACATATGCGAGGTATTATAGTAAAAATCAATAGTACAGATTTTAT